TACGAATGTGGGGGTGTCTTGCAAAAGTGGCAATTCCTACACCCAAACGGGTTAGGATAGGCCCGAAATCCGTGGATTGTATATTCATTGGTTATGCACATAATAGTAGTGCATATCGGTTTCTTGTACATAAGTCTGAAATTCCAGACATACACAGGAATACCATTATGGAGTCAAGGAATGCATGTTTCTTTGAAGACATTTTTCCTTGCCGAACCCATGAAAGGGTTCCAAGGTCTTTGGAGAAATTTGATGAGCTTGCTAGTGAGGATGATCATATTGATGATTCAGGTGATGATCAAATTGAGGTTTTAGATGATAATAGAAAGAAAGGAGGGAGTACCTCCTCAGTAAAGGCCAATGTCGTTGAGCATGGCAAATCTTCTGGGATAAGAAAGAAGCCCCCTATGAACAAGAGCTCTAAGCTGGGGCTAAGGGGTGGTGTTGCAAAGAAGTCAGCTTACAAGCCGCAGGAACTAGGTTATCGGTTCTTTGGGAAGTGTTATAACTGTGGTAATGAGGGACATAGGGCTAGTGACTGCCACAAGCAGAAGAAACCATACAAGACCAAACCTCGTGCTCATATGGCAGACTTACAAGAGCATTCCCATGAGGAGGATGATATGCACTTGTCTACCGTTGTCTCTGAGGTGAATCTGGTGGGTTCAAACCCAAGAGAATAGTGGATTGATACTGGGGCTACACGCCACATTTGCTCCGAGCAGAAGCTATTTACAACTTTCGAACCGGTTACAAACAGTGAGAAGTTGTTTATGGGAAACTCTGCTACCTCGATTGTTGAGAGGAAAGGAAATGTGGTCCTGAAGTTGACGTCAGGAAAGGAGCTGACCTTGAACGAAGTCCTGTATATTCCAGACTTTCGTAAGAATTTTGTCTCAAGGTCTTTTCTAATAAACATGTTTTCGCATGGTTTTTGAGTCCGACAAGGTTGTTCTGACGAAACACAAGTGTGAAACTTGTGTTGAAGCGAGGTGGACAAGACGTCGTATCAGTTATGGAAAGGCGTTAAGCCTTCGTATAAATTCTTACGAATGTGGGGGTGTCTTGCAAAAGTGGCGATTCCTACACCCAAACGGGTTAGGATAGGCCCGAAATCCGCGGATTGTATATTCATTGGTTATGCACATAATAATAGTGCATATCGGTTTCTTGTACATAAATCTAAAATCCCGACATACACAGGAATACCATCATGGAGTCAAGGAATGCATGTTTCTTTGAAGACATTTTTCCTTGCCGAACCCATGAAGGGGTTCCAAGGTCTTTGGAGCAATTTGATGAGCTTGCTAGTGAGGATGATCATGTTGATGATTCAGGTGATGATCAAATTGAGGTTTTAGATAAGCCTAGAAGGAGTAAAAGGGCTAGGATATCCAAATCTTTTGGTCCAGACTTCTTGACTTATATGGTTGAGAACGAACCTCAAACTTTCCACGAAGTTGTGACTTCTCCTGAGAGTCCTTTATGGAAAAAAGCGATCAAAAGTGAGATTGACTCCATCTTATAGAACCAGACCTGGGAGTTGGTAGATTTACCTCCAGGTTACAAGCCTTTAGGCTGCAAATGGATTTTTAAAAGAAAGATGAAGGCCGATGGGTCAATTGACAAGTTTAAGGCGATGCTCGTTATCAAAGGGTACATGCAACGAGAAGGCCTGGATTACTTTGATACGTACTCACCTGTAACTAGGATGACATCCATTCGCATAGTGATTGCGATAGCAGCTTTGCGCAATCTTGAGATACACTAGATGGATGTAAAGACAGCTTTCTTAAATGGGGATTTGAATGAAGAAATCTACATGGAGCAACCTGAAGGGTTTTCAGCTCCAGGACAAAGCAAGAAAGTCTGTAAACTTGTCAAATCTTTGTATGGTTTGAAACAAGCGCCTAAACAATGGCATGAGAAGTTTAACAAAGTAATGTTGTCAAATGGGTTTAGAATCAACGAATGTGACAAGTGTATTTATGCAAAGACACTGACAGAGGTTATGTCATTTTGTGTCTATATATTGATGATATGCTCATTATAGGTAGTAACGATGAAATGATCAAAACTACCAAGAAGTTGTTAAACTCTAAATTTGACATGAAGGATATGGGCATTGCAGATGTTATTCTGGGAATTAAGATTACCAGAACCTTTGGCGGAATTGTACTATCTCAGTCTCATTATGTTGATAAGATACTTGAGAAGTTTAGTGGATCAGATACGAGTGTGTCATCGACACCTGTAGACTTAAGTCTACATTTTACCAAGAATAATAATGAAAGTGTCTCACAGTTAGAATATTCTCGGGTAATTGGAAGTTTAATGTATCTGATGAGTTGTACTAGGCCGGATATAGCTTACTCGGTTAGCAGGCTTAGTAGATACACAAGTAATCCCGATGCTTCTCATTGGAAGGGCATTGTGCGGGTGTTAAGGTATTTACGCTACACTCGGGATTATACACTGCATTATACTCGATATCCAGCGGTGCTTCAAGGATATAGTGACACGAATTGGATATCAGATATAAAGGACTCAAAGTCCACTAGTGGATATGTGTTCACTCTTGGTGGGGCAGCCGTGTCTTGAAAATCTTCCAAGCAAACGTGTATATCTAGATCAACGATGGAATCAGAGTTTATTGCTTTGGATAAAGCAACAGAAGAAGCAAAATGGCTTCGCCATTTCATTGAAGATATTCCACGTTGGTCTAAACCTGTGCCAGCTATTTGTATTCATTGTGATTGTCAATCTGCAATTGGTAGGGCACAGAGTAATATGTATAATGGAAAGTCTAGACATATCCGTCGTAGACATAATTCCATACGACAACTACTCTTGAATGGAGTTGTCTCTTTAGACTTTGTAAAGTCTAAGAACAACATTGCGGATCCACTAACCAAAGGGTTAAGTCGAATGTTAGACGAAACGTTGTCAAAAGGAATGTGGTTGAGGCCTTTGGAAGTTACCGGAATGGAAACCCAACCTAGTTGACTGGAGATCCCAAGATCTAGGTTCAATGGGACAACCTAATTGCGTGTAACAGTGGTATGTCACTGAGAAGGTTAAACCTCCAGCCATTCCTTCTATCAGTGATGCCTGTAAGTGTAGAGGTTATGTTGAGCTTTTAATGACTCTAGTGTGTTAAGCTGTTGAGCTGAGTATTGCAGGATACTCAAGTAGAGTCAACTATGTGAGTGTTAAGTGGGGCCGCTTCTAGAAGAATTGGGCAGGCCAAGATTCTTTGAAACCAATCGCTGAACCAGGCTAGTGTCCAGGGCCACACAGGGCACACCAGTGAGAACAGAATGGTGGTAGGAGTAATTCCCGTGTGAGATCTATTGTCTCAATTTACATAAACGGCAGAGCAGTTCAAGATGTCTTATTCACTGATTAGCGAGTAAACTCGATAGGTTTTCACTGGGAGAGGTTCAAAGCCAAAAGCTACCTTCTCTGATGTCGGGGTTAGTTCGTTGTACTCTCTCTTCGAGTCATTATTGTTGAACGATGTCCGTTTGTTGAGTCTTTCAGTCAATTTTTATTCATGTGGGGGATTGTTGGAAAAAATGATTTTTTGTAACTTTAATTTAATATTAAAGTGTGATGACTTTAATTAAATATAAAAGTGGGCCCCAACCTTTTATTGTGTTAGGTCCAAGTGAGCCAAAAATCATTGGGTTTTGAATAAGAAATTGTCAAGAAATTGCCTCATGATGTTAGATTCATGAATAGGATTTTAGAGAGTATTTAAATCTTTTTTCTTGGCTAAAGGGTGTGAATCCTTGGGCATCCAAACTTTCATATTTTTTGAAAGGGGCTATGGATGCTTGGTGTTTTAATGACCAGCCTTAAAGGCTGGAAACTCTTCTTCTCTCCCCTTTATATGTATAAATTGAGACCCTCCTATCAAGTTTCAATATAGAAATTTTTTGCTTCCATTTTACAAGTCAGTTTGCCAGAAAGTTCCTACATTGAGAGAGTGCTGCCACTGTTCTTGTTCGCTAAGCTAGACAGAAAGTGCTTCTGCCGTAGCTGGTTTTGACCGTCGTATCCTGGGAGACAGACGCTGGGATTCCTCAAGCACTCGACCCGTGAGGCGGCGAAATCTGTTTTAAGGAAACTGCTTCCGTGCGGGCTTCGGTTTCGTCTCTTTACCCTTTTATTGTTTTGTGTATTTCTATTGAAATTTAATTGTAATTATCAGCATATGTTCTTGATATATAATTTGATTTCTTCATAAACCTATTTATTTAATTTTACAATTTGAACAACATACAAAACACTCTATTTTGGAAAGTGATTTTTTTTTTGGCTTATTAACTTATTTTTAAAAAAGTAAAGAGATTATATGACCCAAATAAATTAATAAGTTATCTTTTTTTTGCCCTTTTAATCATTCAAACTTTATTTGAAAAATTCTATTTACACACTATACAACTCTTAGTACACATCACAAATGATGTTTGGATATAAATTTCTAAACAAAAGTCCAATGATATGATACTTGGAGTTTTCTTTATTAATTATATGTATAACATACAAATATCAAAGCATCTCTAATCGTCTGTCATTGGAGCTCTCAAAGCCAAATTTTGAGAGGTGAAGCAAAAAAAAATGTTTTAGTGAGCTGCTAGGGGAGTTGCCAAATTATAGCAATGCCAAAATTATAATTTATCATTTTGCTACTACTATGCTAAATTATAACTTTGGCAATACTGTTACAGCAATTATCATAGGAGATGCTCTCAATAGAATGGACAAAAAGGTGTACTACTTGTATTAATAGAAACCTCAGGGGCCTTCATGGTAATTAGCAGAAAATTGAATACTCCAACGTTTCTGTACATAAATGGATGGATCCCAGCTAGGAAAGTGTCTAGCTAGCTAGGTGCCGTTTGAGAAGAGGGCCCCATCTTAGCTTTCTGTTTTTCAAAAAATTTACTGTTGGGTTTGAAATTCATCGAGAGGGATGAAAAAGTGTATGCGTCTGTGAATCTCCTTTGATTCTTTCTCTCTCTAGTTTTCATTTTCTATTGTTTTTCTTGAAAATACAAGGAGAGAGAGCGGCTATATATCTCTATCAGCTCTTTCTTCTTGTCTCTTCAGACATTTCCAGATACTTTCTCTCTCTAGTTTTGTGCTTCTTCTTCCTCTTCTTCTCCCTCTTCTTCTACCTATCCATCTTTTCAACTTTTTCTTGAAACCCTTTTCACTTTCACTCAAAAAATTTGTGAACTTTAACATAATCAGTACTGTAGCTGAAGAGCTTACTGTTGAAGCTCAAGTTGGAGAGAAAGAGAGAAGATGAGTGCTTCAAAGTTCATCAAATGTGTGACAGTTGGAGATGGAGCTGTTGGGAAGACCTGCATGCTCATTTGTTACACTAGCAACAAGTTCCCCACTGTGAGCTTCCTCAAAAACCAATCTATCTCAAAGAGGGAGAGACCCTTTTTATTTGTACTCTTATTCTTGCATTTGTTTTCAATTTTATCAATTTTACATGCATGCCAATAATGCCTCTGGGTTTTTTTTGTGATTTCTTTGTTGGGTCTTTCAACCCCAAAAATAGGGCATCTTTTGGGGCAGAAAGTTAGTGTCTTGACAAATAACAAGTCATTTGGTTGGCAAAGGATCCTCTGTCACAATGCACTCACAGATCATGTTGTACTTCAAGATTTTTACATGATTCTAGGATTGACTGCATTGGAACAGAGAGATTTAGTGACAACCTAATCCATTTGGGTTGGATTTACTCTTACATTTTTCAATTTCTACACACGAACTGGTCACATAATAGGAAACAAAATTTAGATGAATGAATAAGATTTTATAAAATTTGTTAGTGGGATCCGCATCTAATGTATATGGATGGATAAGATTTTTTTCATATAGATATATATTTCACTAACAAATTTTATAAAATTTTGTTCTTTCATGTAAATTCGGTTTCCTATTTTACGAAAGGTTTCTGTGTTTTCAGCAAAACTATTATTCATTTGGTTTTAGTTAGGTCATCTCTAGCCCTTACTCAAATTATTTGAGTAAAAGCTTCATTTGATATTAACTACTCCAATTGACAAATTCAAATTTAAGCATAAATTTGAGTAAAAACTTCACTAATTGCAAATGGTAAATTTGTGTGTCACAAAATAGCCTTGAAAGTTTTGAGCAAATATTTGAGTCTCTTGATTTGGGTAAAAATTTGAGTAGAGTTGAAGGTGTTTTAAGTAAATTTTACCCAAATTTAAATTTGATACAATTTGATTAAAGGATTGGAGATACCCTTAACCAATCTGTAAATTTTACCCAATCTGTACCCGAGAACGAGCCCCATGATTTTGTCCATTTAGGCTCCAAACCCCAAGGCACCTCCATAATGGATAAGTTCATCCTTGTTAGTATATTATTATATGTTAGTGTTTAGCTTTAATAATTAGTGTCCCCTTGCTTTATGCTTTCAGTGCCTCAATTGGCATCCTATGTTATCTTCAAAGAGATGTACACTCTCTTTATAGAGAGGAGAAGACAACATAGGATGTCAATTGAGCCACCGAAAGCATAAAGTAAGGGGACACTAATTATTAAAGCTAAACACTAACATATAATAATATACTAACAATCCTGAACAATATCTGTTGCATGGGATGCCAACACATTCATTTTCTAAATCCATGTGTGGTATTTTAGGGGCATTGATACAAAGATCTCTATGGCTCTCTCATTCTCTGTTTGGTATGGCAGGATTACATACCCACAGTATTTGATAATTTCAGTGCTAATGTGGCTGTGGATGGGAGCATTGTCAACTTGGGATTATGGGACACTGCAGGTATCTTTTTCATTGTTTATTGAATCTCTTTCAACTTCTATTTTTGGCTTAGTGTTAGTTTGGAGTTAGTGTCTTTCTTTTCTATTTCTTCATTTCTGATTGATTGATTTATTGCTGTGGTTCAAAGGTCAGGAAGACTATAGCAGGTTGAGGCCACTAAGTTATAGAGGTGCCGATATATTTGTGTTAGCTTTCTCTTTAATCAGCAGGGCAAGCTATGAAAATGTTCTCAAGAAGGTAGCCATTCCCTTAATATGTTTTGCTTTCTCATTTTCACTTTTGTTATTTACAAAAAGTGATGCTTTTTGACTTTTTTTTATCAAACCCACGTGAATTTAAAGCATATTTCCTAAACAAAAGTAGTTTTGAACTTGTGTCCAAGATCAGGTTGTTTTGTGAAGTCCTAGTTTTAAGACAGACTTCGAATACTTCTTCAAGCTTGAAATCATATTTTTTAAAATGATTCACTGCCATCAATTGGAGAGCCTTTTGTTTTTTATTCTTGTTAGATATAATCTGCAAGCTAATGAGCCTTTCCTTTCCAAATTTTATTCAGTGGATGCCAGAACTTCGTCGATTTGCACCCAATGTTCCAATTGTTCTCGTTGGAACAAAGTTAGGTACGCAACAAAAAACATTTTCTCGATTTTATTTAGCATAGTGTTGCATACAGGACCTTTGGGAAGTGGGTCCATGGAAGTATATAATAAATAACATCAAATTAATCGTATTTTGTCTTTTCAGATCTCCGTGAAGACAGAGGGTATTTAGCTGATCATATGGGATCTAACATCATAGCAACTGCTCAAGTATGCATCAATAATTTCTAACTTTTATGTATTTAATTTTCTAAATGGACAGTTTATATGTTAAAAAATTGCTTAACCGGATTATATTATTTTAGGGGGAGGAGCTGAGGAAACAAATCGGTGCAGCGGCATATATAGAGTGCAGCTCTAAGACTCAACAGGTAGATTTATGGAAGAAATAGGACTTCGAGAATGTTTTGATCATCATTAACCATATGCCAAGTTCCATCCCCGGTTTTGTAGTCTCTCAACTGAATTCTAATGGCTCCTCGTTGATTATTAGAACGTCAAAGCTGTTTTTGATACTGCAATCAAGGTTGTTCTTCAACCTCCAAGGAGGAAGGAAGTGGCAAGGAAGAAAAGGCAGAGAAGCACTGGCTGCTCAATTGTGTGAGTACTTGCCTTGCGTATCAAATTTTTGTCAATAACTTACATCTTAGGAAGCATGGCATGCAACAACACAAATTTTTTTAAAGAATGTAGGACACCACACATGGGGACCATGCAAAATATGTAGTTTTATATATTTATTTTATGGACTATATAAGCATAAGTAATTATTATATATCGTATAATGAATATTTAATTCAAAGATTATAATTTTTAAACTTTAAAGGAAGAGAATTAAAATAAATTTACTGAGTTTTTCTTTTATTATTGGATTTGAAGTTATTTTATGGTCTAATTACACTAAGACCCCCCTCAATTATGAAAATTATACAAATGCACCCTTTTTAGAGGTGGTTTGGAGGGGGTCTGGAGGGAGTGAAAGTAATAATACATTTTTATAGTTGAGGAGGTCAAAATGTATGGGTTCATAGATGAGGGGTAAAGTGATATTCACTAATAGTAGAGAGGTCTTGGACTAAATAACCTTCAATTTATTCAAAAGTGTTCTCAAAAGTGTCTAAAGCATGTTTGAGTCTAGACTTCTTTTTAGAAAATAGGACATATTTCGACGTGTCTGATGATTGTTAGAAAGGTCTAACAAGTGTCATGTCATGTGTCGGTGTCCAACACGGTATTGCACGCAGCACACCACCTTCTTAGAAATGTTGGTGTTTCTTAGCTTACATCATTGGTAAGTTTGTTGTTATCTTCTACCTAAAAAGGTTTTGTTGAAGATGCCCATAAGAGGGGTGATAGTTTCAAAATCTCAGATCCATCCTATGATGATACTATTGATTAAAAGACAACCAAATAGCATGCACTCAGAGTCGAATTGTTTTGTTTTTAATCATTGACTTCCTTTGGGGAAGCTGAGTCCAGTGTTGGGCTATGATTGTATGCGACTGATTGTTTTGAATCGAGTGTTGGGCTACGATTCTTTAATTGCAATGTAGTTACAGTTGCTGTGTTGTTTTGGTAATGGTTGATGAAAAGTCAAAAGCATTTTACTGTAATTTATACAAGGGTTATAAAATATAGGGCATCTTTCAATTTGAGGCCTTAGGAGGAGGCTATTGCCTAGGGCCCCTAATTGAAGGAGGAGGTCTCCGTATTTTCTAATCCTTGTTTGTATATATATATGTAATACTGTTTTTTTTACTTTTTCATCAACCAATAAAGAAGAAATAGATGCAATTGTAGCTCAATTAAAGAAACAAAGCCTCACTCGGTTCCCAAAACAAGTTTGCATACAACTGATTTGTTTTGCTTTTTTTCTCTCTCATAAATAATTAAGGCTGCACTAATGATTAACTCTCTCAATTCATTCACAGGAAAGTATATTGAAAATTTCAAAGCATTGAAATTCTATGCTCCACAAATAAAAGATATTTCGTTGCAATTAACAAAAGCTAGTGAAAAACCTAAAACAAGTAATTAAGAATTAGTTAGCAATCTATGAGATTGAAAAGTTCAAGTAATTAGATATTTATCTCCCATCAATTCAGCTGGTAAAAGTCTACAATCGAAAGCTGTACTTTTTGATATTTCTCCTTAGAACCCGCCAAAATGAGAATCTAATCTCAAGCTTGTTAATTAAAGTTTCTTATTTGTAAGTGTTCATAGAAGAAGCACTTGACATAACATTTTTGTAATTGTCAGTTTACTTACCAAACACCAACTTAATTCCTCATAAGATTTGATACATATATATCAAATAAATCATGCATGTTGATGATGAGTACTGTGGAATTGGAAGTATTAATGAGCTATAAATTTCTGTAGTGTGCACATTATGAAATTTACATTATTGTCTACTAATTTTTTTTTAACAGCAGGGGTATGGTGTGTGGAGGTTGTGTTTTGGATGCCTGAAAAAGCCGATTCACCTATCCAAATCTGTCTACGTGTGTATCTTACGCCCTTCAACATTGTTTGATGGTCTTATGGAATTGGTTATTGTGTAAGTCTAAGAACTACCTGCAAAGGAGAGAAGAAGGAATTGCTCATTCTCTCCATGCACCATGAATCATGTTCATGTTTTGATTTGTGCTTGTTAAAGTAAGAACCTGCTTAGTACCTGTTAATATCATAAAACCCTTGCTATTGGATTTCTTTTTGTTACGAAACCTATTTTGCTCTTATCAGCTCTTATCTGTATATGTAATAGTTAGAAACGTTCAAGTCTTAGAATATGCTCAGTCTTGGCATTTGGGAGATGGTGAAAAGCAAAAAAATTGAGGAAAGTGGTGTTGCCTTCAAAATGAAAATGAGAAATGCTGTGTGTTGAGGGGTTTGGTGGTTGTGTTGAGGGGTTTGAACTATCAAAATTAAATTATCAAATGTTGCCCTTTGTTTTTTCTCCCACTCCAACCAAACAAATTTCATAGTATACATAATCTCATCGGACAATCAGTACTAAAAAATGTTGGGGTTTGCGGAATTACTTATCTCCTATCCTCTTTTAATCTTCCCCTAAATCAATCTTGCTTTTGAAGACAAATGAAAATGTGATTTGGAACTCTATAATTTCTTTTCTTTTCTTTTTTCGTTGCGTGGTAAAAGGTTATTTACAATATGAAAGGAATTATATCTAGATAATCATGGTTCAACAACTCTACTAACTCAACAAAGAATTTCCATAATGAAGCCTAATATGAAAGTGGTGGTGTTTCACAATGGGGAAGCATAAACTAACTAAACTAGTACAATTGGTTCATGATTTCATCATTCGCATTGGGTTGCATTGGATTGGATAGGAATGAGAGTAATTTTTTATTACACCTACTCAAGTTGGAATCACATTCTAAAGTATGAATTTGATCTCAAAATAATGAAAGTAGATGCTTGAATAATATTGACAAAATAATTTTACATCATTAACGAAATCCATATTTATCTTCTTTAATTTTTGTTCAAACATAGTTTTACAAAATGAGTTGTTTTTATATATATTGAAATTCCTATAAAATGAATTATTCGACTCCTTAAAACAAAATTAATGGTGAGTTTTACAAGCTTGTTAAATTCTATCAAATTCATATTTAAACTTGAGAAAAATATAACCCTATTTGATGTCCAAATGCAATGTTGAAACAAAATGGACTATTTCAGATTGAAAGTAATTTCAATTTGCCACTCTTTTGCCGACAAGTAGTTGCCTAACTCCAGTGAAGTGCGGAAACATTTTTGCATAGAAAACATACAAATCTTTGATTATTTTTGCAAACAGGTGCAGAATATACAAATGCATGTTATAATTCACATAAATCAAGAGTAATATGGGGTTATAATCATGAGTCCAATCTTTTGGAGTATTTTTTTAAAAAAAAAATAATCCTAAAGTAAATTTTTGTACGGTTGAATTTTTTTTTAAAAAAAAAGTAGCTATCAATACTATTGTATTTTTAACTTTTGTAGAATTAAATCTCAGTCATTTAAAAAATCACTTTAAAATCATTTTAAAAGATCTGAATCGGACAAATTACAAGAATGGCCTCTGTAATATTATCCAAGTTTCACGTTAGTCCTATCATTTCAATTTAAATAAATTTGCCCTTAAATTTTTTATTTGTGTCAAATAAGGACACAAATTATAGTGGGTGTTTGGGAAGTGGGTTTTTATGTAGATTTTTTTAATTGTAGGATATTATTAGAGAATTTTTTTTTGTGTTTGGGAAGATAATTAGGTTTTTTTGTAGTTGGATGTGATGTTTGTAAAAGAAAAAGTGAAATGATTATGAAGTTAAATGTGATATTTTATTTGGATTTATTTTTTTTTTCATTTTGCAAAAAATTTGTCTTTTTGTGAAAAAAATCATAAAAAACCCAGCTCCCAAACTTCCCAAACACCACCTTAACAGTCATCCAAATTATAGATGGAAAATAGTCAGCAGCAATGTACATAACCAATTTGTAAGGGTAAAATAGTCTTTTCAAAGTAATCTCTTTATCTCACTAAATCAGAACCGTACATCTCTCTCTCTCTCTCTCCATCACCAACAACAAACCCTACCTCTTCCATGGTTGACTGATGTCCTTTTTTCTTTCTTCCTCCTGCCTATTTATAAGCCTCCATCAGGCAGTTTCTGTCAACCATGTCCTTTTCTTTCTTCCTCCTGCCTATTTATAAGCCCCCATCAGGCAGTTTCTATTCAAGATAATCATGTTCATGTTTTGATTTGTGCTTGTTAAAGTAAGATTGATGGGATGTGAATTTTCATTTCAATTGCTATATGACACGTGGCTTTCATATCCCAATCCAATCTTTGAAAACTTCCTGTTGCAACTTCCATGAACTGCTAACCATATTCTGCAATAAAGTAAAAAACAAAAATAATAATAATAGTGATAATAAATATAAGAGATTTTTATTGATAAATCCATTCTAGAGTTGTTATAACCCATTAGGTCCACTAAAGAATATTATAACCTAATTAGTCCCATGAACTTTTCTTTTTATTGCATAAGGTCCATTTTTCTAATTTAAGATAATTTCTTGGACTATTTTGCCCCTGTATATATATATATATATATATGTACAGTGTTAATACGTAATAGGTGCCTGTTTCTTCGCTCATGCAGTTTGGCAGTTTCTATTTTACGCTTTTCATCATCAATCCAATTCCGAGAGATACGTTTATGTTTTGCATGCTCGTTTCAAGGATTGGTTGTGCTAGGGTTTCATCCTAGCTGTTGTAGTCTGGTTCTGTGGTTTGCGAGTAGTGAAGACGACGAAGAGGAGGGTGTTCGGTTATTACATTTTCCGGATTATAACTAGTTCAAATCAGTTTTTTTCAACTTTCTGTACGATTGTAGGATTGCATGATGAAGGTTAGTATCAATTTGGTTATGAATACATGTTTAGTTTATGGTTTCATTCGTATAATGGATCAGATGCTCTGTTTTTGGATTTATATGGATTGAATGCTCTGTTTTTTCAATTATATGCATTTTACGTGGTTATGTGGAGGGGAGTTCATTCGTATTATGTGAAGAATGTGTAGTTCTCATTTGACTTTGATGCATGCGTAATGAGGCTCTTTGTAGATGATTTGATTATCAGTATATATATCAATGTGAATGTTCACATTTTGTGAATGTGGAATATGTGAAGAATGTGGATGTTCTCATTTTAAATTGATGTTTGCTTAATGAGGCTCTGTGAAGATTGTTAATATTATGTGAAGATTGTTAATGTTCTCATTTTACTTTGATGCTTGCTTAATGTTAACATCTTGGTAATATCAATGTGAATGTTCACATCTTCGTATTGTGAATTATGGATTTAGCACTTGAACTGTACACGTAGTCATCTATTTTTTGCACAATGTGAATTTTCATGTCGATTTTGATTAAATTTGTAGTTCTCATTTTACTTTGATGTATGCATAATGAGGCTCTATGTGGATGATTTGATTATCAGTATATATATCAATGTGAATGTTCACATTTTGTTAATGTGGAATTATAATGTGGATGTTCTCATTTTAAATTGATATTTGCTTAATGAGGCTCTGTGTGTGTGATATAATTCAGAGTGTATGTGTCAATGTAAATGTTAACATCTTGTTTATATTATGTGAAGATTGTTGATGTTCTCATTGTACTTTGATGTTTGCTTAATGTTGACATCTTGTTAATATTAATGTGAATGTTCACATCTTTATATTGTGAATCATGGATTTAGCACTTGAACTGTACACGTAGTCATCTATTTTTTGCACAATGTGAAATTTCATATCGATTTTCATTACTGTTCATTGTTGTGTTTTTGTGTTTTTACAGGAGATGGATACCTTTATGCTATTGGTGTGTACATATGGTTGTAGTACAACTGTAATAAATGTTGCCCGCGCAATGTGTTATTCTCGTTTGGTGGAGTGTTTGTGTGAGAAATGGGATGAGTTGTCTGCTGGTTCTATTTCATTGTTCTGTAAACTACCTGGGATTAATAAGTGTGATTTGGGCAATGAGGAAGAATTGCAGAACATGGTAATGCTTGCTAAATCAATGGGGGTACAACATGTAGAAGTTGTGGTTGAGTTGAAAGGTGATATTGGTCAGTCAAGTAGTTTGGGATTGCTGCGTGTGGGGGTTGAGGATGAAATTGATGCACTACCGAGATTTTGCTACCATAAGGAGAAGGTGTTGTTGTCAGCCCCTTGGGCAAATGGTATTACGCATGTAGGACAACGGTTTGTTGGAGGTGCACAAGAATTTCGTGACGTTTTATGTAAGTATGCCATCCAATGTGGGTTTAAGTTCACATACGTGAAGAACGAGACAACAAGAGTTACTGCTGTGTGTGCGATGCGGGAGGAGAGGGGGTGCTTGTGGGCTATACATTGTAGAGCACAACGAGCAAATGATTTTTTCTACATCAAGAGGTTTAGTGATGTGCATACTTGTGGTACGGATGTCCGAACGTCGAAGAATCCGCGAGTTAGTTCAGATTTGGTGTCGAGTACCATATCTGAAATTGCGAGGGACAAGCCATTGACTCTGCCGTGTGAAGTGGTGACTATTTTGAAGAGGGATTATGGGCTAGATGTGAGTTACCATGTCGTATGGTTGGGTGTGGAGAAAGCAAAGGCTGGTATTCATGGAGATCACTCGTTATCGTTTGACCAGTTGCGGTGGTATTCGGATGCCGTGATGCGATACAATCCGGGGAGTTATGTCAATATCGACTATGATGCGAGTAGTCAACAGTTTTGTCGCTTCTTTGTGTCATTCGCTACGTGTATTTCTGGGTTCAATGCTTGTCGGCCTTTATTATTCCTGGATGGAACATTCCTCAAAGGAAAGTACAAAGGTCAGCTACTTGCGGCAACGGCGAAAGACAGAAACAATGGTTAGTAGTTTTTTTTAGCTGTATATTCATGTCAATATTCACTCTGAGCAGCGTAGTCTGGACAAAAGAGTGATTGCTAAATTATAAGTAATGTGAACATTGACATCATACTAATGTCAATGTTCACATCTTTGTATGCTAATGACAGAAATGTGAACATTCACATTACTAAATACTGATGTGAATGTTCACATCAGTGTATACTAATGTTAGTGATCTATTAATGAACAGTACTGTGAATGTTAACATTGTCAGTGACTCAACAATCAACAATGAATTATTAATGGTCGTTAATGTGAATGTTCACATCGTTGATGTTTACGAACCTGAATCCAAAAATAGCAATAGTAAAGAGGGCAATGTACATATGAACATTCACATGACCTGTTTCGTTTATACTGTTTTTCTATTCACTTTGGAATATTGTGAACAGTTGTGTATTGGTGTTGTGTTGTAGGTCTGTTTCCTGTTGCATTTGCAATTGTTGATTCGGAGACCACGGCT